ACAGTCAACATGTAGATTAATATTTTTCTGTTATTTTACTAAATATTTTCTGAATTTTACAAAATAGAAAAATCTGTTAAAAATAATAATAATTAAATAAAAACATGTTTATCAGGTAGTTCATTATTTATAAACATTTGTTGTTATTTTTAAAAAAATATTTAGATTTATTTATAATCATTATGGATTAAATAATGGTAAATATTTTTAAAACACTTTTTTTTAACAACAGATTTTTACTGTTTTGTTAAATCATAATTAAATATAAATCACAGAAAATGTATTAATTTACTTAGCTAAAAAAATGTTTATTTTTTCTGTCATTTTCAATCTGTCATTTTATGGTCACACATCGTAAAAGAACAAATATTGATGTTTTTAACATTCTTCAATTACTAATAATTATTGATTACCTTTATCCAGGATTTTACAACATGTCACGTAAAATAACAGTTTAACAAAATCACAGCAGATACCAACCACGTCATGATGTTTTTTGTTATAAATTCAGTAGAAATGCTGAAATTTTAGTGTAAAATGCTGATTATCATTTATAAATATGCATATTTTCTACTTAATCGACAGCTTTGGTCTGTTTTATTTGGGTCTGTGCATCTATTTTACTGTTTCCTGGCGTCGTTCAAGACGTCTGGAGATTTGAATTCATCTCTTCTTTTACGACAGAATTTAGACGCTGGATCAAAAACCCGTCGTGGTTCAACGAAGACGTCGCTGCTAAACGCCGTCCGACGCTCACACCTCGCCTTTGTTTTTTGTTTAAATAAAGACAGAAAGGTCAGTTAAAAGGAAACGCTGTTTGTTTGCGACCCGACGGCTTCCAATTAACCTCGTTTGATGATGTGCGGCGGCGGTAAGCGAGGATCTGGGCTGGTCCCTGCAGGCTGCAACAAGGCGAGGCCTCATGAAGGGAGGCATTAAGTGGGATTGGACGGATGCATCAGCGCGGATTTAACGAGGCCTGAGCACACCTCTGTTTGAACCACCTTGAAACGAGAGAATCCAGAAGAACCAAACTTCCTCCTTCCTCTCTGGTATTGTTTCAATATGCAGATGGATGAATCTCCATACGACCCGCCGGGACTCGGAGCCTTTTCCCCGAAAAACAAGATTCAACTCTCAGCGCTCGTCGTCGTCTTCGTCTCTTTGATGCATCTGGAAGTTGACTGTTTTTTTTTTTTCTTCCCGTGACAACAAGACAAACTTTTGGCTTCATTACGGTCTGTTCATACTTATAAAGCCCTGCTCCTCATCCAGGCAGATTAAAGCTAAAGCCCGGATCAATATCTGCTATTTATACGTGCAGGAAGGAGGCTGATGTTCTCCCAGAAACCCAAAGCAAAGGAGGCTGGTGCTGCAGCAGGAGATGTTCATGTTCATGGTGTTGATGGTGGTGTAGAGGGCGTGACACTTACGTTCAAGGCGTTCTTGGCAGCCTCGGCCTCTGATCGACTGTCAAAGCTGACAAAGCCCACCGGCTGGGGAGACAGAACAAAGGCAGCAGACATGGTTTAGGGCAGAGCGCTGAGTCGGCACTTCTGTCTGAGCGACAAAGACATGTTGTGTTTTCTGTATATTTATATATTTTTCATCTCCTATCAGCCTCCTTCCTCCTCCTTCCTCCTCCTCGTCTGTCTCTTCCTCTTTGTTTATGAAGCGACGCGGAAACAGAAAACCGAAGCTCGCACACAGAGTTCATCAATCAGACGCTGCTCGGGCTTTTTTTTTTTGCCCAAATACGGGCAGCGAGCGGCGAGTCGGAGGAGGAGGAGGAGGAGGAAGGAGGAGGAGGACGAAGGACGAAGGCAAACAAGGAGGGAATTCAGAGGTCAGAGGTGAAGGAAAGCAAGAGCTCAGACTGTCAGAGTGGCTTCACTCGTCTTCTGTTCTGGTCGGACAGGAAAAAACAAGAGGAGGAGGTTTTATGTTTGTAAAAAATGTCAGAGCTGTTTATGACGATGAATCTGAAAAAATACAGATTACTGACGCAGATGTGAGTCAGTTGTTTAAAAAAATAGGTATGTCTGTGATTTTACTGCAGAAAACAGCCAAAAATGTGTTTAAATGAAGCGTAAAAACACATTTCTGAAAACTGAATC